CCTGCCAAAAAAGTTTGGCTCCCACTGGTATAAAACAAAGCTACTTCGGCTGGGGGGGAGGAACACAAGCGTGTAGTTACACAACTTTCTGCTGCTTGATGCTCAACACTTTTGAATGCATTTGCTGAGGTTAAAAATAGTTCCCGGCTTCAATTTACTTTGGATTACAGCAAAAAACAGATATAGACAGTTGTATTTTCTTTATTTGATTTCAGCTACATGGATCTACTATAAGCCGTTCCACAATGGGCAAGTGAGGCTTCTAGCTTTGCCATGGAATGAAACCTTAATCCCTAATGCTTCCTATTTGTGAGAAATTAGCTGTCAAAACTCATGCCAAAATGCAAATAAGGGACTGGGGAGAATGGCAGTATGTTAATCATCATCATGTGATTTTAAGGTCCACATTCTTGCAACTTGCCAGATCTGGAAATAAATTCTGTACACTCCCAGTGCTACTGACTTTCCAGGGATAGAAGTATTTCATTTTGGCCCTGCTGTTTGTAAAGGCTCAGACCAGAAAATTTCCACTTATCCATCATTCAGATTGCCAGCATCATCTTAGCACTACTCCAGGCTTTAATTATAATTTATTTAATATCAGTCCACTTTTGCTTTTTTGTGTTGGTACTGGAGAATTCACTTTTGCGTGCAAGGTACGAGACAAGGAAGTAAAACAACCCTTAGTGTGCTACATTTCAGTGAAGACAAGATGCTGTGGAGGAGAGGGCTATATTTAGTTACATGTTCTAAAGCATGAAGGAAGCAGGACTTAGTAAGACGAGGCCTACTTTTCCCTCTTGAGAAATGCAAAAGAGCCGTAGTGTGTTGTTATAGAGCTTCCTGTATTTGTCAAGCTATGTTTTAATTCCAAGTGCTGCATGCCAATAAATCAAAATGGCTTATAGCAGAGAGTTTTACGATTTCATTGGATATTGGGGGAAGGGCGAAAAAAAAAAAAAAAAAAAAAAAAAAGAGGGCAAGCACAGCACTCTCAGAAAAAGACCCCACTGAGAATTGTGGTAAGCCAGGCTCCTGGGAGGCACATGCACATCACCAGGGAAGCAGGTCAGATTGGCTGGGATCCACTTCAACAAACCCTGCAGTGGTGTCGCAACCTCCCACTGTCCTGCTCTCCCAGTCATTGTCTGTCACTTGGGGGAGCTGAACGGGAGCAAATCAATTCTCGATGGCCCTAGCATACATAATATGAGTCTTTACAGGTTTAACTTAGTATCATGGCAGTGGCAATAAAATCAGATTTAGGACTGATTGAAGTCAAACAGGTTTTTTGTTACTGATAGTGGAAGATCTTATGGTAGCTTTGAGCAGTCAGACTCCAATTTAAAAGCGGATTACCCCAACTGAATATGACGGGCCCAATTCTGCCCTTGGCTGCATAATCCAAAAATATGTCCTCACAGCTGACAGTAAAATGCATGTGTACTTTGAGAGGTGATAAGTATTCTCAATGTTATTGAAATGTGAATCATTTGCCACAGTAATGTACTAAAATCTGGTGGCAGATGTATTTAAGCCAAATTTACCAATTTCAAATACAAGGTAACAGTGTTTTTTTGTGTTTTTAAGATGGCCAACCCTATGACATTGCTTCAGACCGTCACCAATGGAAGTGGATATCTTATGAAAGGATTTTAGGAGCTTGCAGCATTCAATTTATGAAAGATTAATTGGAGAACTATTCAAAACGGTTTATTTTTAAAATGTAAATGGTGTGCCTATTTATAGGATATTATTTGACAAAGTCTGACTCTATAGAGATTTCTAGTAGAGAGGATAAAGAGAGCTTTGATATTAAGTAATTATGGGTTATTTCTGGAATCCTGGTAAGTGGTATTTACGATTCTCAACACTCACTGATATTTCTGTTTTTTGTCGAATGTATATGCTAACTAAGCACGTTCAAGTTGGACAACACATGAAGTGTACATGAGACTCCTTTAAAAATCTTAACTCGAGCTACTGGAGCCTCTAAAGTGAGGTTATGTTATAGCAAAGGTGTCTGTGGAGACAGCCACACGTTTACAAACAGAAACACCGTAAGCACATTTATTCTCACCAAGCACAATTAAACTAGCATATAGAGGAAGTCGTTCAAAAGCACATATGCCAACTGGATTTTGTGGATGTGGGTGTATTTTTTTTAAAAAAGGAGCTAGAAAGAAAAAACGGTTTTAGCCAGAGTGAGTGTTTCCTATCTAGGAACGATAGACTACTAATGCCATCATTCAGGTCAGAAGAAGAGATGTTTTCAGGTAAAAAAAGGTCAATATAAACATATTTACTTCAAGCTGATCTCCCAAAGCCACTCTGCAGCGCAGGAAAACGCAGCCCTGCCGGATGCGGGACCATTCGGGGTTGCAACCAGACTTTCCTGCAACTTTCAGACCCTGGGAGGACATCACTGAGTCTCCCTCGCAGCCTCTGCCTTGTGCTTTCCACGGCTTCAATAACGCAAGCACACATTAAGGAAGAGCAGGTTTCCTAACGGAGCCGCCTGATCATTTAACAAAGACTCCCTCGTTCTCCCACCCTGCCGGATGCGGGACCATTCGGGGTTGCAACCAGACTTTCCTGCAACTTTCAGACCCTGGGAGGACATCACTGAGTCTCCCTCGCAGCCTCTGCCTTGTGCTTTCCACGGCTTCAATAACGCAAGCACACATTAAGGAAGAGCAGGTTTCCTAACGGAGCCGCCTGATCATTTAACAAAGACTCCCTCGTTCTCCCAGCCAGCGGGAGGGCGCGGAGATGCGCGAGGCGCGGACTTCACTGCCCGCC